AACATATGCAAATCGGAAATCGAAAGACACATTGGTACATGACGGGATTCGAACCCAGGACCTGCAGACTGCAAGTTAAAGGCTTGACTCTTGAGCCACTGACGCTCTTCTTATATTATGTGATCGTAAAAGGGTTCGTTTTTTTCTTTCGAGTTACTTAACCCTAAAAATGAACTAATTATATATGTCTTTTTATATAGTACGTGTACTTTTAATAGAATTTACGCATTTTTGTATAGATGTGGTGATGCAAAAGCTGAAATCACTAGCCGCAGTGAAATTGATGCTGTGAACACAAACGCTGATCAGATGTAAACAACTTAATTTACTTTAAGTGAAACTAGCCTTTAACGATTAGGAATATGCATGTGATGCCTTAAAATATAAATATCGTTTGTCATTTTCGAGCCGAGACAGGCGCCATCTTAGAGTAGACGACGCTGTATTTATTTCTCATCCAACAAGGAAAATATACGTTTATTTTTTATATCTTGTGATAAATGAAAAAAACAATTTCTCAACACACAGGTATTAATAGAAGATTGTGACGTACTGTTTTACATAATTAAAAATTTAAATGTCCCAAAATCTGCCAAATTTAGACATGATTGTCTGAATTCATGCATTAAGACTGATTCATCATTCTATAGTGTGTCTATTTAAGATTGATTAGTTTGACCACTTACCTCTATGAAGTATCCATTTCTTTTTGTATGATGATTAATGTTGTACTTAATGGATGGTCGCCATAGTATTGGACCGTTTGCGCATTATGAACAGTCAACTATCGACTAATCTATCTTGTAATAAAATTAATCGAATTAATTAACTTTTTGAACAAATTACAAATATTTGGCTTCGTCTCACGCATTTAACTAAAAAAAAAAAACATTTCTTTTTGTTTTTTTTTTTTTAAAGTTGGCACAAAAGAAATATTTTTATTTGTATTATAATTTAAAAACAATAATCACGAAATTTTGGATTACAAGTTCTTCTACGAGAACAACCATCGAAAATTTTCTTAACCGATTTTACTCAAGTGAATTCAAAGTAATAAATCTTAAATAGAGAATATATTATAAGATTGCTCATACTACGCCAATATGTTTAGCCAATCTCAGTGGTCTGCCTTGATTGGTGTCCTGCGTTGATTTGTACAGTCAAGAACGTTCTATAGATATCAGTGAATCTTTGAGGTTCAATCCAAATGAAAACTTTTGTAGCAACGTAGTTTATTGCACAATATTCTTATAAGTATAATATAAGACTTTGACTGTACAGTCAGCGTCATATAGATCGTCACAGACAAGATATGCAAATATATAGGTACACCAAAAGTAATCAATTATATCGGTACAACAAAAGTCCTCAAAATAATAGATACATTCACCCTGCTCAAATACATCGGTACATACACAGCGTCAAATATATGAGTACATGCAAGATGCTCATAAATATCGTAGCAGCCACAGCGTCATAAGTAACGAAGCAGTCAAGGTGCTCAAAAATATCGGTACATTTGACAAAATTGAACTCTATCTCTATATACTTGTGATACAATTTGGAATAAACTACTTCTGTTACATTCATTTGACACTTTGTATTAACATTATAGGTTGTCCGGAAAGTTCGTTCTGATTTTCGATATAAAGCTTACAATAGACTGTAGCTGAAGTGGATTCATTTTCGGATTTCCACTATTATCAAACGTCACAAAAATGTCTATATTGTAAATAATTTCATTTCATTGGTTGAGATAAAAACTAATTTTTAAAATTTTAGCCAAAAATAAAAGACGTTTTAGGTATAGAGTCGTACCAATATAATTTAAAAACATTTCCAAAAATTTAAGAGAACAGGGTTTCAATTTTCCTTATAAAGCGGCACGAACTTACTGGGCAACCCAATATTTTTCTTCTCCTGTCATTACGCTTAAATATATTATAAAAGTTTGTCACGCCGAATATGACAGATACGTAATAACTAATATCAAATTTTGCCTTGTCACAATATATACTAGTTTGGCGCAGTATTCTAGTATGTTTGCCGTAATATGTATAATAAGTTTACCGGTTCGAATCTCAGGCTTCTTTTCTTTTAGTAAAAATTTGGTAATTTAAAATTTTGCTCGACAATTTTTTTTTTATAATTTTCGCTGTCGGGTAGAAAGAAATTTAAATAAAGTTAACAACAATTAGGTCAGACCATTGCGGGTGAAGTGAGTGGGCGGAGCGTGGATTGTCTTTGCGGGTTTTAAGAATGGTACGCGCGGAAACTATACGTACAAGTGTTATCTACATATGAGTGCGCGCCCACGCACACTGGAATGTTTATTGCAATCGACCAAAAAATTGATGTAGTTTGGATATTGACATTCAGTTTTTTTTCTTTGTTTCTTAAATATAATCAGTATCAGTAAAAGGTAAAAGTGTTATTTTTACCGATACAAGTTTAACAAACATGAGTAATAAACAAATTACATGCCAATAGCATCGCTTTATCTCCTTCATTTTTGTTTGAAATAGAAAAGTACTTTAACGGTCAAACTCATTAGTCCAAGGCAATATCAAAAAGTACCTAATAACTACGGCGATAGAGTTTAATTACATGTGCTTCGGTATTAAAATTAAAAAGTTTAAATAAAAAAAAAAATAGTGGCTTGGGATTTGAACCGCCGACCTTACGTACAAACGGCGGTGAACGGTAAGGCCACGAGACCAAACTAGCATATATGATGACAAACTTAAATTTGATGTTGGTTTTATCTACCTAATATCTATCATCCGCGTCGAACACTTTTAGTAAATTTTGAAAAATGGTTTGATGCAAAGTGTCAAATGAATGTAACAGAAGTAGTTTATTCCAAATTGTATCACAAGTATATGGAGATAGAGTTCAATTTTGTCAAATGTACCGATATTTTTGCGCACCTTGACTGCTTCGTTACTTATGACGCTGTGGCTGCTACGATATTTATGAGCATCTTGCATGTACTCATATATTTGACGCTGTGTATGTACCGATGTATTTGAGCAGGGTGAATGTATCTATTATTTTGAGGACTTTTGTTGTACCGATATAATTGATTACTTTTGATGTACCTATATATTTGCATATCTTGTCT